GAAGTTATTCCAAAAAAGCATGAGAACCGGGAAGCAAAAATAAATTTATGAAAAACAAGAGCGGAAACCTAATTTTTGGTTAAATTTTGAGCACAGAACACTCTCACCCCTCCTTACTAACTCAAAGTTTCAATATAACCTTAAGAAGTACGATTTCAACAATTTTTCATCTTCCTAAGATGTACCATTTTGCACAATTTGCGAGAACTTACTGAAAAACCCATGCGATCTCCTTTTGACAGAGCTTACCAGCAATTTCGCGGGATAATAACCTTTTCACAGTGTTATTATTATATGTCAACAGATTCCCCACAAATTAAAAATATTTTTAAGTTTTTGACGTGACAGTAGACCGGTTTTTCTGCAATTTTTGAGCTTTTCGGCCAATCAACCTTGCCCGTTTCGGCCTGTAAGCGACGCGCCGATAGCTAGCGGACGTCAGCGTCCCGTGGAGACGACCGAGCCCTGCCCTCCAACCCCCATTTTTCCGTCAAAATTTTTCGATTAGGATGGTTTACAAAGTTATATTGCACATTTTTGCTTTAATTTTGCTTTGGAGTTGATCCTGATCGCGCGAAATACCTTAACACTACCTCATCCTGACTCTGGTACTTTTTTTGTCGCTAGAAAGCCCTATTTTCGATGAAAAACATCCGAATCGTCCCCCCCCATTCCGTCTCTGCCAATTCACATTTTCCATTTTCTCGTTTTCCACTTATTGCTTTTTAGACCTATAGTTTCTTTTCAGAAATCGACTTCGGGAATCGACAGCCATGAAGGTAGAAACCTGCTGCTATTCCGGCTACAAGATTTACCCCGGCCATGGAAAGAGGTCCGTGAAGGTCGACGGCAAGGTAATTTCCCAATGTTTATTCTTTTCATTGTTGTTTAGGTCCAAATTTTCCTCAACGGCAAGTCCCAACGAGGCACGGCCCTCAAGCGGAACCCCCGTGAAGTCACATGGACCGTCCTTTACCGAAGGAAGAACAGGAAGGTATGAAATACGAATTTTTACAAACATTTTGCTCCTCAGGGAGCCCACGGTGAGGAGAGCCAACAAAAGAAGAAGACCAAGAAGACCGTCACCACGATCACCCGCGGTATCGGAAGTTTGACACTCGACGCCCTGCTCGCCAAGCGCAACCAGAAGCCCGAGTTCAGGAAGGCTCAGCGAGAACAAGCCGTCAAGGAGGCTATGACGCCGCTGCCAAGAAGAAGGCCGCAAACAAGGTATCGTTATGTTGTTGATGAAGATACTCTTTCAATTCTGCCGTTGCGCCGTTGGATTTGACAAAAATTGCTAGCACTAAGCAACGGCTGCTTTTTCGGCTTACCTTTGTCGGGCAACTAGCGCCGTTTGTTTCCGTTACTGATAGTGTGTGCACGATTTAATTTTTCGTTTTCCAGGAAAAGAAGGCTGCGCAACCCAAGACCGCCCAACAGAAGGCCCCCAAGGCCGTCAAGACCCAGCAGCCCCGCGTCGGAGGCAAGCGATAATTTCCTTTTCCAACTTGTTATTTGTTCAATAAACGATTGTTTTGCCTTTTTGCTGTAATAAACATTTCAAGTTGTTCGTTGCGCATAGTAGTCAGTTGAGAACAGCTTGTTTGTTCGATGAAACGGATAATCAGTTTTGTTGAAACTATCGGGCTATGCAGCAGGCTTTAGGATTGGTTTCGGATTAGTAGCACATCAACTGATAGCAATGGTTTGGCTTAATGGGACTTCGGAATAATTCTAGCGTGAAAGTCACAGACTTTGGAAGGGATTGAATGCTGTCGCCGGAGCTTCCTGTGTTAGGTTCATGGCCGCTCAGGAACAATCAACAAGCAGCGGTCCTGATAATAGCGCAGCAGTATGCGAGTCCTTTGAGATTTTCCAATGCTTACTGAATCGGTCGTAAAGTTAAATCCGACTAAGGTTGAGTTAAGCTTTCCTAAAGAAGGTGCGTAGGTAGTAGTCGTAAATTTACATAAACTAATTTCCCCGGAAAACTCCCCGAATCCTCTGAAACTATTTCGACATTATGAATTTCCAGATTGATAGCGAATCTCGCAAACTAGTTGAATTTTTATCCATAGCGACTGATTTCAAGTTGGCCGCTTGATGTCTCTCTGATTTACCCGTATGCTCCATATGCTCCAATGCAATTTAAACATTCACCTGCCGCTCTTCCGCACCGCGGCAACACACCACACGCTATTTGGACACGCTCATTAAGTTCTCTAGCAATTTTTCTAGTAACTTTTGTCGGATGGGTAACATTACGCTATTTGTGGACACGGCCCTGCCGGAGATGAGCCCGGAGACGAACCTCCAGGTTTATACGATAATGGAATATACCTCGGGTATTTATAGGGTCTAAAAATAATGGCCATCTTTCAGTTTTTACCACAATCGTAAATCTATATGTGTTGTATGTTATTTTATATAAAACTCCCGGACACATGAAAAGTTACGGGAGAGCGCTGGCGGTTTATCAGGTAGGCTGGGGAGCTGATCGTTCCCCCAAAAAAATTATCCGCTTCTACAGGGTGTCGAATGTCGGTAAAGCCGATTTGAAAACATTAAGGAACGGCTTCTTCATCTAATTCAAGCCAACTTCCGATCATTTAGCTTGGAGAAATTGAGGCTTCATTTGTACCACTAGAGCGTCGGCCAACAACCTTTTTAGGTCATTTCCCTCAGCATGGACGTGGTGTTGAACTCGGCAACGGCGCCATACTTGATAATCCCTCTACCGGCCGGATATGCGTTGGGGTGGCTGTCACGGTTGGGGGCTTCGACGCAGCTGCAGCTCGTCAGTTGGCTTTGATGAATTTTGCCTATCAAATTCAGCGCGCACAAACGGTACCTTCCATTCAGCCACACTCTTTCAGATGGCCGCTTTCTTGCCCGGGATCCAGATGATGTCAACGATGATCGTGATGTTTCTGATCCGCCAACAAGCCATCATGCCGGACGGACATCAACTAAAATTCTCAACACGGTAGCTCCGCAAAGTTGCATGTCTACAATGTGCTCCAGCACCGCGCACATCATCTACGCGGCCATCCCTACACTGTTTTGCTTGCAAATATGGGGTGTGATGATTTACATGCTCGTCTGCGATGACCAACCGGCGGCCAAGAAATTGTACGAAGAGGTGAAAATGACGCTTTACCGTATTTCCTTTAATAAGCCTCCTTTTATAACCCCAAAATTTTTTTTGGAAGTTGCATTTAAGAAGTGAGGAATGCCAAAAACATTTCTATTTAAGCTTCGACATTCCTGCTATTTTGTCGGGGGTCTTTCGCAACGCCATTTGATCGAGCATCAAAAAATATTAAGGGTTCCAATTCCCGCTCAAAATTCATGTAAAATAAATAAAGTAGCGAAAAATATTTGCGAATTGCCGGCTGGGGGAGAGGTAAAGCAATGTTTTACCAAATAAAAATTCGGGGAGATGAATTTAATTCCTGCAATGCCCTTGCCTATGTCCAATTTCTAATTTTCACAGAGCTCAATGAAAGTTACGTTCAGAAATACCCATTCTTTCGGCGTTTTTTCGATATACCGTCGCTGTACGTCTTCTCACCCGAAATCGGTGGCATGGTCATAATGAACCTATCGATTTTCGTCTTCATCACCATCGGCACGATTGCAGGCAAGTATTGACGTTTTCTACGTTTTGCCTGATGGTTTAAGGTTCTCGGTGCTGTCAGTCGCGGGTCGCGCCAATGGCGGCAGTGGGCCACTAAAAAAAAAATTTTATTTTTGAAAAATTTAGGCATCTGCACCGTATGCTTCATCGTTCTGACCGGCCAAAAACAATTCATGAGCCTGAAGACATATCGATTACAGAAGCTATGGGTCTACAACTGCATTATTCAGGTAATCAGCTGAATAAAGACGGCACGACGGTCGTTAAAAAGGAAAACCATCGTATTAAAGGTAACGGTACCGATGGTGACGCTAGTTGGTCCAATCGGTCTTGATATGTATATCTACTTTGCCGATGACATCGCTCTAGTTGGTAAGTTTTTTGAGCTTGCAACACCCGCTTTTACGCGGAGCAAAAGTATCGGATCGGAATCATATATATGATGCGAAAGCTTTGCACCAAGCTTCAAAACCTCGGTTGAGACGCGCTATTTTACAAGCCATTTTGTAAAATTTCGCGTGTTTTTTGGGGTTAGATACGAGCTGATTTGCCTCAATTTCTCGAAACAAAATAAGAGCAAGTACTGGTTAATTAAATACATGGGCCAGCCCCTCATGTTTTAAAACAGGCATGAAATGGCGCGCTTAAATAAAAACATGGTTTGGTCGATTGTTGCATACTCGCCGTGCCAAAGGCTTTCGAACGATATAAATGTGAAATCGATTTTGAGCGGCGTTTTTCTCATTGGAACACGCGGTATGCAAACCCGAATGTTCTAGGATTTTTGCCTTTCATCATCGCGATGGGTGGGCAGCATGGGTTCTGCTCGAGCATCGTCACGCTGCTCATCTACAAGCCTTATTCGGAATATGTCAAAAAATCTACGCTCTCTGTTATCGCATTCATTAAACCCCGTAAATTAGCCAGGAACTTGATAGATGGCAAACTTCCAGATGGGGCTTTTGGGCGTCCTGCCACGTCAGTCAGAGCCACTTCGGCCACCATCAATCGATCTTTGACGGCCACTATCAGCTATACAGTAAATCCACCGATGAAACGGAGATGAATGTTGCTGGCTCTTGCTGCTTTCGCTGCGGAGATTGTTTGGAAGGGGATAAAAATTTGCGGAGGCTCGGTGCGTCAAGCTCTTGTTTTGGGTGACATTTTATCCTGTATCCCGCAAACAGCTTATGAGAGGTCTGAGAAACAATAAGATAGCTTGCGATGTGGTAAGAGGTTACTTTACCGCCCTCCCCCCGCAGCCGAAGGGTCTGAAAGTTTTCGGTATTTTCGATCATTTTTCGGGATTTTCTGAACGCCATGAATAGAGCGTCGAAAAATATATTAAGAGTGTTAATTCGAACTTACAATAATGTAAAATAAAAAAAGTTAAGCGAAAACATTACGGCTAGGGGGGGGGGGGCGGGTGCAGTAAAACGTAGCCTGCGAATTATTAGAAGAACATCATGTGATAGCAATGATTTGGTTTTAGTAGGCTTCGGAAGACTTTTAGCCTGAAAGTCATAGGCCATGGAAGGGAGGGCAGGCTGTAGCCTTTCTATCTTAGGTTCTTGGCAGTTGGGGGAACAACCGAAAAGCGGCGGTCCTAACAACAGCGAGTTCCGCGATCTTCCAATGCTTGCTGGATCGGTCGTAAAGTAGGCGGTTCGCCTCTTCGACATCTCTTCGGTGTGAAGCCTTCTGGGACCAGCTATAACCAAATGGATTCCACTATAAAACTCGATAAAATCGCTCGGTCGTTGTGTCAACGTCATATTTCGCTTTCACACCGTTCAATTCGACTAAGGTTAAGCTAAGCTTTTCTCAAGAAGGTGCGTAAGTAGTAGTCGCAATTTACATAAACCAATTATCCCGGAAAAACCCACGAATCCTATGAAATACAATTGGCTGTTTGATGTCTTCTTCTTTTACCCGTGCGGAACATTGAAGCAATCACGCCCCAGTGCAATTTAACATTCACCTGCCGTGGTTCCCCAGCCCGACAACACATCACAGGCGATTTGGACCCGCTCAAGTAGTTCTCTATCAATTGTTATAGTTACTTTTTTTGTCTGATGGGCAACATTACGTTATTTGTGGACACGACCCTGCCGGAGATGAGCCCGGAGACGAACCTCCAGGTTTATACGATAATGGAATATACCTCGGGTATTTATACGGTCTAAAAATAATGGCCATCTTTCAGTTTTTACCACAATCGTAAATCTATATGTGTTGTATGTTATTTTATATAAAACTCCCGGACACATGAAAAGTTACGGGCGAGCGCTGGCGGTTTATCAGGTAGCCTGGGGAGCCCCTCGTTCCCCAAAAAATTAGCCCCTTCTACAGGGTGTCCTAATAAAAAACACCCCCCTCTAACGCGACGCAGAAGTGGCGCATCTAAACAATAGCTACACCATTCAAAAGTCCCTGAAACGGCAAGTTTTTCAAAAATCTTCAAGACTATGTTTTTATTTAAATCCACAAACTTAAGGCGGATTTGAAAACGTTAAGGAACAGCCTCTGCATCTAACTAACGCCAACTTCCGGTCATTTATTGTAGAAACTGAGGCAAATCAGCTCGTGTACAACTTTGGAAAACCGCACAATTTTGCAAAATGATTTGCAAAATCGCGCGTTTAAATGAAAATGGGGTTTTGAAAATTATCGCAAACTCGCCGTTCCAAAGGCTTTCGGTGTAACCATCGTTCCGATCCGATGCTTCTGCGTCTAGGTAGGGTAAGCGGAGGTCCTTTTCATTGGGACACTGTAGATCCGCTTTTACGATTCAGCGATTATTGAAAATTTTTAAGAACACAAAAAAGCGTGATTTATGTATGGTTTTAAAACTCCCGAAATCAAGCAAACAGCCTTTTGTCAGGCGATAGCCTCACGTTAGATGTCTTTTTCAGGCTGAAAACAGTTCGATTTTTAAGCCATTTATATTTACATTACATTTCATTAGAATTCACAGCAGAATTCGGCGAGATAAAAATTCGGCGAAATGACGATTCACCATATAAAATCAATGCAAAACAAAATGCTTTTCCGCTTTTCTCCTCTCGAGGGCTTCCGAATGGTGCGCAAAAAGCATTTCGCCACGAGCTTCATCTGTGCCACTAGAGCGTCGGCCAACAACCTTTTTTGGGTCATTTCTCTCATCATGGATGTGGTGTTGAACTCGGCAATGGCGCCATACTTGATAATCCCTCTACCGGCCGGATATCCGGTGGGCTGGCTGTCACGGTGGGGGGTCTCGACGCAGCTGCAGCTCGTCAGTTTGTCTTGAAAATTTGCTTATGAAATTCGCGGGACGAAAGCGTATCTTCGACGAAACGCACCCTTTCAGATGGTTGGGTTCTTGCCGGGAATCCAGATGATGTCCGTGTTGATCCTGATGTTTCTCATCCGACAGCAGGCCATCATGCCTGATGGCCATCCCCTCAAATTCACAAAACGGTAGGGCCTTTGCTCTGTTAAAACGGGCTACTTTCAAAATGTCAAAATTTCATGACGTTGCAGTTCCAAATGTCGAATTTTTATACCGTCGAAAGGTCGGAATGTCGGCATTCACATCAACAAACATACGGAAAATCTCCCGTATTTCGTGGAAGACATTTTGGCATTGCAAATTTCGATACGATGAACTCCGACATTCTGAAAATTTGACATTATCCAGATTCGACATTGCGCATTTCGAGCTTAGGAAATGCGAGCCTATCAATTTCGACGTTAGGGGCTTCGAAACCGTGCCATTTCGTTATTATTACATTTCGACATTATGATAGCAAACCAGTCCGAACGCTGCCGAGGTTTGGACAATTTTCGAATCTTTCAGAACGACGCGCCTAATCTACACCGGGATGCCGACACTATCTTTCTTAGAAATATGGGGCCTCATGATTTACATGCTCGTCAACGATGACCAGCCGGCAGCCAGAAAATTGTATCAGGAAGTAAGATAGGTGGTTGACGCCGGGGATCAACTTGTCTATGTCTAGTTTTCACAGAGCTCAATGGAGGAACTTTCAGAATAGCTCTAAAAATCAGAATATATAAATTTCTTAATCTATTTGTAAATTTCGGAATCCACAAATTTCAGTGACTTTCAATATCAGAATCTCGAAGTTTCATTATCGCTAAATTGCAGAATTTCTACTTTGGGTCTAAGTGCGTTACAGTTTCAATTTACGCGAAAATCGGTAGGAGTTTTTGAACCAGGAACGGTACAGTACAGTTTTTTTAAGCCTAAGCATTTAAAAGTTCTGAAGTTTAGAGATTCTGAAATATACTGATTATGACATTTAGGGATTCTGACAGGACGCCAATTTATGGAAGTGCCTTTCAGAGATACCCATTCTTTCGTCGCTTTTTCGATCTACCATCGCTGTACGTCTTCACCCCCGATATCGGTGGCATTATGATATTGAACCTATCGACGTTCTTCTTCTTCACCGTCGCTGTGATTACAGGTGCGTATTCTGGTTCGATATTTACTTCTTACATCTTCATCTACATCTACATCGTTTTGTGTAACTTGGATAGCACACGCAACGCTCGTCCCCACCCAAGTCGCGTTGCGCGTCGCGCTAATGAAGCCACTGGGCCATCGACGAAAAATGACTCAATCCGAAAATTCAGGCATCTGTACCGTATGCTTCGTGGTTCTCACCGGCCAAAAACAGTTCATGAGCCCGAAAACGTATCGGTTACAGAAGCTATGGATTTACAACTGCATCATTCAGGTAACGAGTTGGATATAGAAGGCACGACGGTACCACAGCGGATAAAGAGATAAACCACCGTATTAAAGGTAACGGTACCGATGGTGACGCTAATGGGTCCAATCGGTCTTGATATGTACATATACTTTGCCGATGCCATCTCTCTCGTTGGTAAGCTTTTTGAGCTTGCATAAAACGTAGGATTTGGGCAAATCCATGGCCAAGTCCGAATAAAAAACCCTGCCTTTACGCGATGCCGAAGCAGGGGCGTAGCCAGAAAAAAATTTCGGGGGGGCCCCACAAAATTTTTCTAATGAATTTAAAACATCAACGAGAAAACAGCGCCGCAGGCAAAAATTTTTGAAAAAAAATGTTACATATCTTAAAAAGCCGTAAAAATCTGAAAAAATAGCGTCGCAAGCAGCAAAACTTTTAGAAAATAAAAATCATAAGGTTGATCCCTTATGAAATTTTCGGGCCCCGGCCGATTTCGGGGCCGGGGCCTGTATTACGCTACGTCCCTGTGCCAAAGTGTCGGATCCAAACGATAGTGATGCCATGAAAAGCTATGGAACCCGCTAGTTTGCACCAAGCTTGAAAACCCTTGTTCTGGACTGTTAGCGGGGGGGGGCATAGTGGGGAGAACCAAATTTTCCCTGTAACTCTCGACGCACCCATAAGAAAATAAAAACCATTTTATGTAGCGTGCTACATAGTTTTTAGGTATAAAAACAAACAAAAAGGACAGGAAAACAAAAAGTAATCCCCCTGCTAAAAATTCCCCCCCCAACAGTCCAGAACCACCTTTTATACGATGGTCAATGTTGAAGGATTCTTGCCTTGCATTATCGCAATGGCTGGACAGCATGGGTTCTGCTCCAGCGTCGTCACGCTGCTCATCTACAAGCCTTATTCGGAATATGTGAAACAATCTGCACTGTCGATTATTGCTTTCATTACGCCCTGTAAATTGGCCAGGAAATTAAGAGTTACCAAATTTTCAGATGGTATTTTTGGGCGTCCTGCCACGTCAGTCAGAGCCACTTCGGCCACCATCAATCGATCTTTTACGGCCACTATCCACCGATGAAACGGAGATGAATGTTGCTGGCTCTTGCCGCTTTCGCTGCGGAGAGTGTTTGGAAGGGGATAAAAATTTGCGGAGGCTCGATGCATCAAGCTTTTGTTTTGGGTCTAACTCCTTCGGGCGTTTTTGCTCTTCTTCGCAAAAAGTAAGGTGAGGTAGGTGGTAAGGTAAGGTGCCTAAACCGACCATGAGATTGCTTATTTTTCAGACGGCAACTGTGGACGCTCGGCGTTGCCTAGCCGATCTACTTCTGCCGCTCCAAAAAGGATCGTTTACTGCAATCACCAGCAACACCATTAATCCACCATTGACTTAGAAGATAAAGTGTAATAATTATTCCTGTCGGAAAACTTAGCATAAAGAACTTAGACGCTAGACTAGACTAGACATTAGATACTAGAAAAACACTAGCATAGACACAAAGCATAACACGCCCATAAAAAACTGAAAACAATTCCTCCGGTGGGTGGAAGTGTTTACTTAACGAAGAGACGGCTCGAAATTTTATAAAAATCTAATAAATACCGATTTCCGATAGCTTTTGCAGAATCATTTATCAAAAAATTTTTGCAGGGATGTTCCGTTCAGCAAAATCCGCGAGTGCAGCAGGTGCACTGGCCTTGGCCAAATCCAGGCTGGTAGACGGAGGAAATCTGAATATCATAATTGACTTACACCATTCCATGGAATAGTTCAAAAATTGTTTAGGTAGAGCAAAGCCTTTGTTGAGGAATTCAAGCTTGAAAATTGTGCCTACCGTAGACCAAAAGTTGCTCTGCAGGTTGGCACGGCAGCAGCTGGTGCAGTCCTGGAATGGAAATATGTAATTTCTGAGGGGCCTATCCTTTGAAAAACGTTAGAAAAAGGTCGTATCGATCCTCTCAACTTACAAAGAGCCCAAATCCACTCGTCACGCACGGGTTAGAGCTGGGGAATCGGCTGAAGAAGACGGTAATGGCCGAGCAACCTGAACAAAGGCGTTTTTATTTAATCTGAAAAATCTCCTACTCTGGGCACAACCCGGAAACGATGGTTGAGGGATCGGGCGAGTAGGTGGGAATGGCTGAATTTTTTAGGACACAATAAAAATTTAATAAAGAAAAATTTCTTACGCTGGGGAATGGAGGGCCGGGTCGGGGCGGGAAGCCCTGAGAAATGGTAATTTAAAGGTTTGATAAAAATTTGCTTACTCCTCCTGGGAACGGGCGACCCGGGCCGGGGAATCCCTGAAATAAAACGGTTTTTAAAGGGACTAGGAAGCGCGAAATCGACTCGTCAGGTTCGACCGGGTCGCCACAACAACGTGGCACTCCAAAGTACATTAAGCGAAATAGACCATCAAATCGTTTTTACGCGTTATCGATTGTGTCATGGAATCTTGTAAAGTAACCGTCGATACCTAGTCGAAGACGGGGTCGATTCTAGCATTTCGAAGCTACTTTAAACCTATTCCAAGTTTTAAAAGCAGCAAATATCGCGGACGACATACTCCATGACCACCAGGGAAGCCGCCTCCGCTTCCAGGGAAGCCACCACCGCCTCCAGGACGCCCGTCGCCACCACCGCCTGGGAAGCCGCCTCCGTTTCCGTTTCCGCCATCCGGACGTCCTCCTCCGCCTCCACCTGGGAAGCCACCACCGCTTCCACCACCTCCACCACTGCTTCCACCGCCTGGGAAACCCCCTCCTCCTCCATTGCCTCCACCACCGCCGCCTGAGCCGCCTCCACCACCTCCCCCTGAGCCGCCTCCACCTCCTCCGCTCGGGAAGCCCCCTCCACCGCCGCTTCCGCCACCTCCGCCACCACCAGGCTATATGCGAAACCTTGCGAAGTTGTTAAAAAACCCACCTGAGGACGTGGACCATCCGGGAAGGGCTAAAATTTACTTATTCACTATACCAGCGGGGGAGGAGCCGCTTCGCGACCCTCCCCCGCTGGACCCCGTCTAGGCCCTATGAATCGAGCGCTCTTCCACATAAAGTTAAACTGAAGACAGAAGGACGCATTCCCATGCGAACCTATTTGTATTGACATGCGGCGCAAGATTAAATCGCTAGTGTCGTTATTAGGCCTGCGGCGGATGCTTGATCGGCTAGGTCGCTACCTCGTCCCGCGCGGTTGAGTTGAGCAGGATTTGAGTTGCTGCGGAGTTGAGAATTGAGGGATTAGCCTCATTTTTTGGCCTGCGGCGCCAGCTTGAGCGGTTTGCTTCGAGGTAAAGCCTGCGGCGCAAGTTTGAGCGGTTAAGTCCTTCTTTAGCCTGCGGCGCTAGCTTGAGCGGCTAGCTTGTTCTGGTGCTGCGGCGCTAGCTTGAGCGGCTAGCTTCGTTCTAAAGCCTGCGGCGCTAGCTTGAGCGGCTAACCTCGTTCTAAAGCCTGCGGCGCTAGCTTGAGCGGTTAGCTTCGTTCCTAAAGCCTGCGGCGCTAGCTTGAGCGGCTAACTTCGTTCTAAAGCCTGCGGCGCTAGCTTGAGCGGCTAGCTTCGTTCTAAAGCCTGCGGCGCTAGCTTGAGCGGCTAGCTTCGTTCTAAAGCCTGCGGCGCCAGCTTGAGCGGCTAGCTTCGTTCTAAAGCCTGCGGCGCTAGCTTGAGCGGCTAGCTTCGTTCTAAAGCCTGCGGCGCTAGCTTGAGCGGCTAACTTCGTTCTAAAGCCTGCGGCGCTAGCTTGAGCGGCTAGCTTCGTTCTAAAGCCTGCGGCGCTAGCTTGAGCGGCTAGCTTCGTTCTAAAGCCTGCGGCGCTAGCTTGAGCGGCTAGCTTCGTTCTAAAGCCTGCGGCGCTAAGCTTGAGCGGCTAGCTTCGTTCTAAAGCCTGCGGCGCTAGCTGAGCGGCTAACTTCGTTCTAAAGCCTGCGGCGCTAGCTTGAGCGGCTAGCTTCGTTCTAAAGCTTGCGGCGCTAGCTTGAGCGGCTAGCTTCCTTCTAAAGCCTGCGGCGCTAGCTTGAGCGGCTGGCTTCGTTCTAAAGCCTGCGGCGCTAGCTTGAGCGGCTAGCTTCGTTCTAAAGCCTGCGGCGCTAGCTTGAGCGGCTAGCTTCGTTCTAAAGCCTGCGGCGCTAGCTTGAGCGGCTAGCTTCGTTCTAAAGCCTGCGGCGCTAGCTTGAGCGGCTAACTTCGTTCTAGAAGCCTGCGGCGCTAGCTTGAGCGGCTAGCTTCGTTCTAAAGCCTGCGGCGCTAGCTTGAGCGGCTAGCTTCGTTCTAAAAGCCTGCGGCGCTAGCTTGAGCGGCTAACTTCGTTCTAAAGCCTGCGGCGCTAGCTTGAGCGGCTAGCTTCGTTCTAAAACCTGCGGCGCTAGCTTGAGCGGCTAGCTTCGTTCTAAAGCCTGCGGCGCTGGCTTGAGCGGCTAGCTTCGTTCTAAAGCCTGCGGCGCTAGCTTGAGCGGCTAGCTTCGTTCTAAGCCTGCGGCGCTAGCTTGAGCGGCTAGCTTCGTTCTAAAGCCTGCGGCGCTAGCTTGAGCGGCTAGCTTCGTTCTAAAGCCTGCGGCGCTAGCTTGAGCGGCTAGCTTCGTTCTAAAGCCTGCGGCGCTAGCTTGAGCGGCTAGCTTCGTTCTAAAGCCTGCGGCGCTAGCTTGAGCGGCTAACTTCGTTCTAAAGCCTGCGGCGCTAGCTTGAGCGGCTGGCTTCGTTCTAAAGCCTGCGGCGCTAGCTTGAGCGGCTAGCTTCGTTCTAAAGCCTGCGGCGCTAGCTTGAGCGGCTGGCTTCGTTCTAAAGCCTGCGGCGCTAGCTTGAGCGGCTGGCTTCGTTCTAAAGCCTGCGGCGCTAGCTTGAGCGGTTAACTTCGTTCTAAAGCCCGCCGCGCATGCTTGAGCGGGTAGCTTCATTCTATAGGCGGCGGCTTGAGTGACTAATTTCATAATAACGTCCCTACACGGAAATCTACTCCGAAACGCACTTTCCGAGCAAAAAGCAAAACAACTTCGATATCCGAGGATCGAACCACCGATGGTTGGATTAGCACGGCGAAGCGCTTACCACTACGCCATGCAATGCTTGGCAGCACGCGTCAAACACCCGTTTTATGCCTCAAGAGGACTGCCCGGGGCAGGGGAAGGAAATGCATCGAGAGGCAGATCCAAAGAGACGACCAAACTCGCGAGTGCAACTGGCAAGAATGAGGAAATTTGTATTTTTTCACATTATGCAAATTAGCCCTCCCGGACCCCCAAAAATCAATAAAACCGGCTTTAACTTTGTAAACTTGTATTTTATCGGGATTCTGAAAGCGCCATCGGAAAGAGGAGGGTCGATTCCCCCGGGTGACGGAGAATTAAGGCATTTTGGACACGGGAAGGCCCTCAAATCGGGCATCGAACCTGACATCCACACACACACACACACAGAGATACACTCCAAAATTATATAAGGTAGGATATAACTTATGTAACCCCGAAATTCTTCACTCCGAAAGCCATTACCCCAAACAGCCTCTACCCAGAAAGATTATTACCCCCAAAATTCCAATGTTTCTTCGGACAATGCCATTTTTGCCTATCATTTCCGAAACAAACAATCCTACTATATGAACTTTTGATGTAATGGTTTTCATTAAAACCTTTGCTCATTTACACATCTCCAAAAATTCTACCTGCGGGCCATTGCCTGGACCATCATTACCAGGTCGTGGGAACTAAAACAATCTTCTGTAACCGATCGAAAATCCAGCAGAACATCCCATACAACAATCAATTCACCAACCCCGCCACCTCCACCACCACCACCACCACCACGTTGAGCAACTACATAGCCAAGGAAGAGAGCGAGGATTAGGGTAGAGCCTCTCATCCCAGCAAGGTTTTTGTGGGATCGGGATCAGAATGAATTTCGGCGCGTTCTGTCGGCCCTGAGCTTATTTTGACGGGCGCCTAGACGGCAAAAATCCGATGTGTCAGGTGCAGAACCAAAAATTGGGAACGTTTTTAAGGGAAGAGTGTAGCTTACAATTGAAAAAAACGCCTGTGCTATTTAGTATCTAGGACCTAATTTGGTTTGCATTTAGATGTAATTTATTCATGCAAGTTTTGATTATTGTATGTGCTTTGTACAAATGATATTACATATATTTCATTCAGAAAAGCCCGAAAGCCATGAACATATAAATATAAACCGTCTGAGCGAAGAAAGGTAGAGACGGTATGCTTTTAATCCGTAGCGGCACCATGCCGTTATGCCGGGCAAAACTCGGGTATTACTACGAGTCGACCAAAAATCCCAAACCTCGCAGGGTTTACCTGAAAAAATTGATTATTTTTAGAGGATCCAAAATTCTGATACCCAGAGTGACCGGCAAAACAAGCAAAAAACTTTTGATCAGCTAAAACACTTACAATGTTTGATTTTTATTCGCTGAATTACGCCTGTGCGATATTGCCCTCGATCAAATCTCTGAGTAAGTTCTTGTTATCCGCAGCGCTGGCGTGATGATGCTTGTGTGGCCGGCCCAAAGTTGGCGACAGCGTGAAATAATTTTATTGCTACAACAGAAATTTTAGAAAATACATTGCGATAACTTAGATACTGACCTGAACATTAATCGAACGGCCCCTCATAAGTATGTATCCATCCCAAAAACTTCGAATATCTTTTTTCCGAGCGTGTTTCGACAGACGGCTTGTATTAACAAAATCTGACGAATTCCGTTCTGCAATCAATCCTACCAAGTATGTTTGCTTAATTAATACGGTAGAAGAAATATAGTGCCAGATCAAATGGCGTTTGAGAAAATTAATGAAAAGATTTACCCATAGTGAGTGAGGTACCTCATCGTCAAATATGCTTGAAATGAACCACCATGCGTCGTACCAAACTAAAAAAAAGATTTAATTTCTATGAAACCAAGATACCTCAAATAATACTTTATTTTTATCGGGCTTGTTAGTCGGTTCGTTTTTGATCCGGTCAACTAAAACTAGTCTTTTATATATGATATATTTAACCTTAACCGATTTTTATCAAAATAAAATAAGTATATTGTGCAAAAAGAAAACGTTGTATCACAAGTGCTTACGCGCTTCAACGCAGGGAAATGTTTTCCTTGCCCCACAGGGCTGCATATCAAGTCTATAAGAAATTCAGAAGCATTCTTGGATTTTTCCGGGGATCACGTATCGTAACGCTTCCATTTTCACCCCCACAAAGATTTCGGGGTCCTTAATGGCAATTGTCAAAAATTCTTTACAATAGTACTGTGGAGAGTAGTAATAATTTCCATAGCCAATCGACCCGCGTGATTTCGGTGAAATCCAAATTCTTCAAATAATAATTCATCATCATAAACTCTTTCGTCAATTTTTCTGTTTATCTGCCATTGCGCGCATTGTCTAAAAAACCATTGAAATACTGGTTTTGGTTTAGAGACTAGCGGTGAAAATTATAGGTATTTTTGATATCTGATAATGCAGAAAACCAGGGGTTATATTTAAAACGCTTACATGCTCAAACATGGGGAATTTGACCCTTTCACGAGGGCGCTGCTATCCAGTATATAAAAAAAATCATTAAGACCTTCTTCCTTCCCAGCCGTATACATCGACTATAATTCGCCTCGCGCTTCGTATCGCTTCCATTTTTAAGTCATCAAAGATTTCCGCGTCCTTAACGGCAATACTATAAAAACTTTATGGAAGTGGCAAAATTCTTTCAAGTAGTGGAATTATTTAGTAAAATTTGTATCAGGTTGGAGTGAATCGTCGCGAGATTTCGAAGAGCTGCTAAAATCGCAGATAGCTTTATGACATTTGTCATGTGGTACCCAATTTCTTCGAACCAGTCTGAGGCCACTAAAAGGGGGGGTCGAGATACAGGCCCGAGAGTTTTTGGCGAAATTTGGTTTTGCAAGTTATCTCTGCATAGAGTGATTTGCATGCAATACCTTGAGCGCCAATCGATAGAACTCGAAGAATAGATATCAATAGATGTTGAGATCATTAAAATTGGACACTGGATGGCCGAGATATGGGCCCTTGAAATTTGGCCCATTTCTTAGAACTTTTCTCGATTTCCCATACATCAGGCAAGAACGAGCCAAAACTTGCCGCTCGATTTTCGAACAACACATGAGGATTTTGATAAAATGTATAGGATTTCGAGAAAAGTTCTAAGAAATGGCTCAAATTTCAAGGGACCGTATCTCAGCCATCCTGTTTCCGATTTGGACGATCTCAACATCCATCGATATCTACTCTTCGAGATCTATCGATTGGCGCTCAAGGTATCGCATGCAAATCACTCTATGCAGAGATAACTTGCAAAAACACTTTTCCCAAATTTCGCCAAAAACTTCTCGGGCCTGTATCTCGACCCCCCTTCATTTTAGTGGCCCAGGACCTTCCTCCGGAAGAAATTTAGGTCGAGGGCTACCAAATGACATATCGCATGTCAAAAATGATGCTATCTGCGATTTTAGGCAGCTCTTCGAAATCTCGGCGACAGGACTTACCTTCCAACCTGATAATTATTATGATAACGTAATCACTTTTATAACTAACCAAGACTGCTGAACACCGCCGCAGGCCCGATATCGATATCAAAAGTATTGTTTTTCAGGGATTCTCCTTCTTGAAAATTTTTTCTATATTTTGGATTCCATTAATTTGAGCAGTCATTAGACTGTTTATGCAGTCGTTAAATCAATGGTAGAATTTCCCAGAGTTGAGGTAAGCCTGAAATTGATTGTCAAATGCATTGCAGATTTGCATATCTCGTGTTTTCGAAAAACATAAATAAAAATATCGATAGAAAAATATATACGAATGAGTCAAGGTAATTAAACGATATCAATTACGATAAATTTCTGAACAAAGCCAGGACATGTACAACTGTACGAACCAGGTAGCGCAAAATGTCACGTACAAAAATCAATGAAGCCGGCCGGCTGTACGCCCTTTTATCAAGTACCCAAACCTGACAGTGTGATTACCCTTATCTTTTGCCCGATTTTGGCCGTAATGTCTGGCAGTTCTGCTTAAGGATGTGCTAGAGAAATCGATATCGTATTTTTAAGCGTTTATTCCGAACTCAATTGACAATAGATCTGGAACGGAGCGACTGGAATGAAAGATGGAGATTTTCCATTTTTCCCCGTTTCTGAAAAATGCCTGATTTTGAATATTCCCAACCAAAATCCGATTTCATACAAAATCCCACTTACCCGTATAGAACGGATCTATTTTCTCTCGTCCCAGGCCCTCCAGGCTACTTGGAAATAGCGCACGTCCACGGCGGTATATACCAATCATCAGCAGCAGATTGGATGAGTTAACAAACGCATCGCGTTGCCGCATCAAATCAAGCCCGTGCGCTGCCAAATCCCTAGGTTTTTTAAAATTATTTCTAGAGGTTTGACAAACTGGTCTAGGCGGTCTTCTAGCTGTAGGTATCCCATCAGTACAATATAAACAAAACCACGCCTGAAACATATCACATCCCATCAGTCCGACCTCCCTTGGGCTTACATCGTCCACTTAAACCAGGCTGAAGCGACGGCGATGTTCTTCTTACAAGCCTTGCAGTTCGTCACTATACTGAAGTGATTTGATTTCAACCCTGGATTTTCAATTTTTAGTGCTTTTTCTAGCCAGATGCAAATAAGAGCTAAAAAATCCAAATGGCGTCTTATATAAATTCTTAGATTTAGGCTAAGATATGCATAAGCCAGGCTTAAGTTAGGCATGGGCTTGCGGCACCTACCTCAATAGACCTTCATAGATGGACAGCACGAGTGCTCTCGATTTCAGCAACTACATATATTAAATATACACGATTATAAGCAACTTCAGGAGCAGCTTATACAAAAACAGCTTCCCATGAAGCTTTCAAAGTATTGGTAGAATCAGCCGGAGTTGAGGTAGCCCTAAAATGACAGAAAAATTGATATTTAACGGCAATATAAACAAATCAGCCTTAAAAAATAGTCCGATGCGAAAAAGCGTCTGAAGAAAAATGCAGGAAGACTGCATTCAGCGTTTTTTTTCTCCCGCGCGTAGGCTAGCCGACTTGGTGGGCCCGTTTTTCTCTCAGAATGTTTGCTCGCCAAATACCGTTAGGCCGGTGGATCGAGACCCGGAGTATTGATTGTGCCTTAGAAAATCTGAAAACTTGAAAAGCAAATCCATCAAATTCGCCTGAATGCAAAAAAGCAAAGTTGGTTTCGAAGAAAAATTAAATTTAACAAAATTTTTTGAAACGAGAAAGAATGCAAAATAATTTGGCGCCGCTACCTTCCATCTCTCCCTCTCTCTTCGTCTCTCTATCTCTCTCTCTCTCTCTCTCTCTCTCTCTCTCTCTCTCTTTCTCTCTCACTCTCTCGGTCTCTCGCTCTATTCTTCTCTCTATCTCTCTCACTCTCACTCTCACTCACTCTCGCCCCTTATTCAGAACAAAATCATCTATTCAGGCGGAGAGCGCGGTAATGTAATGTGTTTTTTGAATCTGCAACTGCACACAATGTGATGGGAACTCTCTGCGTTGATATTATTAAGTGCCATGCATGCGATTAAGGCTATTATGCCGCCGTGGATTCGTGTCGCAATATCAGTTTTTTTTGGATGGTTCTTCCCATTTCATTGACGATTCTGTTCTTCTATTCTTCTTTGATGATCCGTTTATTGAGCTCAGTGAAATGGTTTTCAAATTCGAATCATTTAATTTTGGCAGGTTCCGTTTGCTTTCCATTCAATGAATAAGAATAAGCACTCGTCACCGGAAGAAGTTTTGCCGCTCCTGAATTTGTGATTTTTACTTGATTCATCGATCCATTAATGTTTGCGGGATCTCTCCGTCTCTCTGTCTCACTCTATCTCTCAATCTGTTTCTCACCCTCACTTTCTCTTCCCTCTCTCTCTCTCTCTCTCTCTCTCTCTCTCTCTCTCTCTCCCCCTCTCTCGCTCTCTCCCTGTTTCTCTTTCTCTCTTTCTGTTTCTCTCTGTCTCTCTCTCCTCTCTCTCTCTACGGTAACCATTTTTCAGGGACTCACAAGGATTCCTTGGCTGCGTTCATCCATCTACCTTCTCCCGTACCATTGCTTGCAAGCTTGTCGGAATTAGCGCACGTACTCAGCGGAATATACGAGTAATGGCCAGCACACTATCACACGAAAGCGGACCGAGTTGCAGCATCTGATGGTCGTAAACGTCACTCTGCAAAAAAAACATTTCTACCAATAAATTAAATTTCCTTGGCCAATCTTAAAGGACGAAAACAAAAAGCCACACTGAGAAATACCACGCCCCATTAGTTCATTTTCGATAAAGCTTTTTTTTATTGATTTCAAACCTTGGTTTTCAATTTTTTATTCAATATCTTTTCTAAAAAGATGCAAAAAGTAGGTAAGGAGCCAAAGGAGTTTAATGGCTCGTGGCTAGGCTAAGCCTAGGATATGCTTGCTTACCTCAATAGACTTCATCGATGAACAGCTATCGATGGCGCTTATGATTTCATCATTTATATTAAATATAAACTATTCTAAGCCACTTCACAAGCAGCTTATCCAAAAAACGGCTTTCATGAAGCTATCAAAGTGTTGGTGGAACCACCCAGAGCTGAGGAAACCTAAAATTTCAGAAGGATCGACATTTATAGAAAACATAAAAGGTACATCTAAAAATGAAGTGACACGAAAACCAGTATGGAGAAAACTGTAGGAAGAGAGCATCGGGGGTTTTTTGGGGCGCCATCGGCCAGACTAACCGACTTGGTGGGCCCGTTTTTCTCAGGGTGTTTGCTCGCCAAACACCGTTAGTATTCCGGTCGATCGAGACGCGGTTTATTGATTATGCGTTAGAAAGTCTTGGCTTTTCAGATAAATTCTGGAAAAATACAAAATTCATACGTTGCTCTCTTGCCCGCTCTCTCTCTCTCTTACTCTGTCTCTCTCGCTCTCGCTCTCTCTTTGCCATGAATTGTGATTGTGGTTATGCTGTATTAGCTGTTCTCAAAACTAAGAAGCCCTTTATTTCCTTACAGAGTCAGCGATATTCTCACAGATTTATAATTTGATCGGAAAAACGTATCCAGGCCGTTGTTTTTTAATAAGTTCTCAAATTTGGGAAAGCTGTTCTCCAGTGCTCGGTCAGCGTCAGGCATTCCAACCGAGTGTCATCGTCGTGATGCCCTGAATTTTTAGAATTTTAGATACGGTAGATTTAGACGTGTGACTCTACAAACCGCTTTTTTCGACCAAGTTCAGTTCATCAAAATAAAGTTAACAATGCTAGAAATGCAAACTTTTATATAGAAAATTCAACAGTGAAATATCTTACTTGCGAGCTCAAATCTCACCATCAAAAATTTCTTTTCGAAGGTTCCATTGTGGCGTGTGGCGTTGGCCGCGGGTCCCAACAGCCTAGGGACTTACATCATGCACTGCAATTTTTTTGAAGTTTTTATGCCAGCACGTATCTTAAATCTTAATCCAGTACGTACCTCTAAGCCTGACTCTACGCCGAAGCCTAATTTTAAATTAAGCCAGCCATTGTCGAGTCACCAACCTCGGCAGCTTCAATTACAAAACATTCTGAGGAAGACCAGAATATCGGACATGCATTTGCCTTCCAAAAAATTGATAAACTTTTGTATTAAAAAAGCCGAAACGTGGCTTTTACGCAGCCACCCAAAGATTGGTAGAATTCTCCAGAATTGAGCGTTGCTAAAATACAATCATTAATGGATGGCACTGGTATTTAAAAACCATAAACAATACGCAATTAATTAGATGTGAGGAACTTAAGTGAATGCAAAAGCGGGAAAATCAGTAAAGTGATGGACTGCCGATTCATTGATCGAAGGGAGCACTGCCGCGAACTCCACCGAGTTATCACCGAGCCAAGCCGGCTGGTGCCCTTTTTATCACCTTTAATATTTGCTCGTCGAAGGGCGTCGTTCTACAGGGTGGCTAGAAAGTATTTGCCGCGCTTTCGCGCTGGTTTTAATCTGCTAAAATTTCAGCGACAGATGCATTTGGGGGGTGTATTCTGCAGAGAATTTTTTGCTCTATCGATTGATATATAGAAACATTCAACTCCTTGCTCTTATAAATTTAATTGGAGTTAAATACATTAAACGGTGCTTTTTATATGGGTTTTCGGCACTTTTGAGGCCCTCGAAAAATTCCTTAGGGGATATCTTATTCTTTTCCGGTGCTGTCTCGTAGAAAAAATGATCCAAACTATCTAAAAAAATTATGCTCGGGGCACCTCGAGACTTTGATGGATCACGGAAGTGAAAGTAAAATTTGGCGAGTGCGGTGCGCCGAGATTCGTGGCTGGCAACCATTTGCCGCAAAAGAATGGGTTCTAAAAATCGTTAATTCGAGATCTTGCCCTAAATTTACTATCAAATGGTAGGTAATGCATGACTCTACCAGGCTGACACTTTGAATAGGGCCAAAATAATTGAAAACGCCGGCCTAAAGCATTTGAAGGTTGTTCGAAACCAACGGCAAAGCGGTGCATTTTATTATTCTTTTGTGTCCAGAATATCTTTAGTTGCGGCTATCCAATGAGTTTTTCCCATTCTAGCGGTTGGCATTATTGCGTCCACAAAAGAAAAAAATAATTTCCGGATAAAAACGTCGATATTTAAGACATTTTGTATTTGTGCCTCAAAACACCTTGTTCCGCTCATTTTAGGCGCTAAAGGAAATAGCGGAAAGCTTTGATATGGCTAAAAGAATTTTCTGGTTGATACGTCCGATAAAGGGCCTTGCATTGAACAAAAACCCAACTTGCTATTCTGGTTGGTTGCAAGTAAAAACTGAAAAGATTAACACTAAAGGCAAAATACGTGCGGCGCAGGCCCATGTTTGGAGGCACCTCTAAAGGACCGTAACCCAAAAAGATGAGGTCTAGTGTGTTCGCCTTTTGATAATCGAATCGCAAAGAGAGGTCTCTTCGCTACATTTTGGTTATAAAATGTCAATGAGCCGGACACGAAGAATTTCTTAAGGAGCTTCCCTGCGGCAAATACTTTCTAGCCACCCTGTAATTGGCTCGACTAATCAATTACGCCATTAAATAACAATGGTTTCAACCCGAAACGAGCGCCTAAAAAAAAGCCGTCTTATTTTTGAAAATTCAGGTCAGATTTCACAATCCCAAAATACATTGATTTATTGGAAAAAAGCTCTGTTTC